AAATCTTGTGTTATCTGACAATATATCCATTGCACAGTATCGATTGTTTTGGCGCTTCATGTCTTTGTTATTTTCTGTTATGTTTTTTTTCTTTAGGGTAAAAACAAGTCAGTAAAATCAGTAGCATGATGGGTAATTTTAAAAGAATAATGCCTTTTTGTCAGATGAATTTGACATCCTGGATGATAGATGAAAGTGTGACAACAAGTGATTAGTACAAAAATTGTCTTTTTTTTTTAATTGGCCGACGACATTTGTCAAAGAATGTAGCAAATTTGATTGGTAATGTAGCGATGACCTGATTTTAAAAAGTTACTTATAAGTAAATGAGTAATAGTTAAATATTTTTACTTAAAATTTAAAAGATAATTAAGCCTATGTATGACACATATTTATTTTTATTCTCATATTTTCATAAATTTACATGTAATATTCATTTATTCATCACTCAAAAAAAATATTTACACACCTTCAAAACATGCTCTCAAGTTATTTGGGAATAAAAATACCTTGTATTACCTTCATCCCATAAAGATAGACTTAGTATCATTTTTCGTTTGTTCCAAATTGTAGGTCACTCTCTTTACTGAAAGTATGTATATTTTTTAATTTTCTGATATGCTCATGTTTAATGTACTTTGTTATGAATAAATATAAACTAATCATATTTAAATCACTACTTATGTAGGGGAATACTCGAAAAAATGTAAGAAAAAATTATATTTCCAACTAATTAAATCAGTGTTTGAAAATAGAAATAAGCTTATTTTTATGGGACGGAAGTAATAATTTTTTAGCTTGATTAATCATCTATGCTCTTCACTAGTGCTCACTTAACTCTACACTTATCAAATTAAAATTTATTCACACTCGTCATTAAACTTTACAAAATATTTTAATTAGACTCTTCTGTTACTTTAGCATTTTTCTTTTTTCCTTTTTGTCATACTATCATGGGAAAACAAGTGATCTGGAGACAGATGATGCTCCAACTAGACGAAATACCTGTTCTTGAAGAAGTAAGTTCGATCAGCAGTGCTCAATTTTTAAGAATGATCTTTCAGATCTACTATGCTATATTTCTTACCATCTTCTAAAACAAACAAACATGGATGCTCTTACTTGATCACCTTATGTGCCTGTGCTGCTGTGCATGGATTGCTCTACCACTGGTGCGTCCATGCTTTCTTGTCCATGATTTGTGAAAATTCAACTGATGCAGGCCAGAACACCAGATACTAGAATCTACTACAGTTATGCAATTATCTTTCACTCCAGTCGATAAACATAGTTAGTACTCCGAGCAAGGAACAGGAAATTTTCAGAGTCAGTCTTTTGTCAATGACAATTCAAGGAATTTTCAGTCAGTCATTTCACTGCCTAAAAAACATACGCTTTCTGTGTTAGTCATATTATTGTTTATCTTTCTTTAGCTCTCTCTCTTATTCCAACTCCATTCTTGGGATTCATACCTTGTGTGTAGTGGTGTCAAGACGAACGGGCCGGTCAGACCCGTGAAAATCGGGACCGCGGGCCGATTCATGACTCGTGCGGGCTGTTCACGGGCCAAGGAGGTGTAACCTGTGGGCGTCGCGGGTTGCACACCCACGGGCCGTGGTTAACCCGCGGCTCGTAACAAAAAAATAAATTGAAAAAAAAAAATAAAACAAATTTTTTTAAAAAAGGTTTGGCTCTCTCCCCAACAGCAGGCTACGCCTGCACGGTAACAAAAAAAAAAAAAAATTTAATTTTAATTTTTTTAAAGTAACGTAACGGTAATATTATTTTTATAACGATAATATCATCTCCTTCATCTATAAATTCCAATTTATTCTTACAATTATTTTTACAGTACCATCTCATAAGTTATTATACAATTATATTTCATAGTTCATACTTGTTACTACCTTACTACAATTACAATTATTCAATTGCAAATATCATCATCATCTTAATTATATTTCTTTCTTCTCAATTCTCACTAGTCACTACTAAATTTTTTAATCCTACTATATTATGGATTCTCGCGATTCTTCTTCTCAAAATCCTATTTTCAATGATAGTTGCTCTCCAATAAATTTAGAAGATGACAATGTTGTAGAAGTTGGATCATCTCAAAATGTAAGAAAAATTTATTACAATTTTTTAATGAATTTGGTGTGTTAAATAAACTATTTAGTGTTACATTTGACAATGCAAGTGCTAACACTGCATGCATTGAGCTTTTAATTAGAACGGTTATACCTCCATATGATTCTAAATTATTTCACATGCGTTATGTTTGTCATATATATAATTTAGTTGTGCAAGATGGTTTGAAATTAATAACACTACAAATAAGTATAATTAGAGACTATTAAGTATATTTCTTGTTCAGATTCTAGACAACAAGAATTTACAAAAATTTGTAAAAATCTTGGA